GGCTCGGCAAAAGCAATATTGTTTCGGGCGCCGGAGTGGTGGGGGGGAAGAAGTTGCACAGGCGCGCGGCGTCAATGTACAATTCGTGCGAAGATGGCGCACCGAATGTTGCGGTAGCATCGGTTCTAACCAGAAATGCATCGGCGCGCGGCGCGAGCCCGATTCCACGGCTGACGTCTACCCCCTGGCCACGATGCCAGCTGCTAGTGGGAAAGAGATATGGGCACACATTGCGGAGCGGACTGCCGAGTCGTGCGGAAGATTGCGACGTCGAGAGATTTTGGTCGGAGGCGTCAGATCCTCGCGGCATCTCCCTTTTTATACAATGCTGGAGAGATCGCGGGAGCATGCAGTCGCAGGGCACGTCGCCAGCGGGTCCCGAGGGCGCTCTTGGCTCTCCCGGGACGCAGACTGGATACATGTAGCGGAATTCAGTACGTGTAGCCCCGACTACTCGAACAGCAAATCGAAGCATTACGCAAATCACGGACAACCGATGCATGTAACTGAAACTGAATCCGTGTATTCGTTTCTGCAGCACCCGCGGCGTTCCTACCACCGCGGCGGTCCGCCTCGCGCGGGGCCCGCCTGGACAAGGTGCCCCCTCGGCCATTCGAGCATCGCCTTTCCTCCAGCTTAGCAAGCATAGCACCACTTGGAAGAAGCCGCGCTGCCCCGCCGCCCCGAGCTGCGATCCCCTGGCGCCGCGCGACACTGCGTTCGCCGCAATGGACGCCACCATCTCCGTGCCGCAAAGGACACCGCGACCAAGGACACCGTGCTTCATGAATGATGTCGGGTTCATTCTGTGCGCCGCCGCACCTGGTCAGCGCCGTCGCTGCCGCGATATTCGATGCGCCATCCGCGCCAATCCGCGACTTGCGCCCCGCACCTGTTCAAATCCCCGGCCCCCCCCCCACTCTGGCGCCCGAAACAATGTTATTTTTTTTCCTGGGCCCCGAAAAGTGTAACGCCCGCCCCTTGGCTACAGTGGAAACCTATGCCAAGAAACACCCTGCTTGCCTCCAGGGTGCCCTGGGTTTCTTAGGTTTCGATGGCTCTGCAGTAGAAAGCGTGACGTTCCCAAACCAAAAACCAATGGACGTCCTGGGGTCTAAGGGCTGGGTCTCTTGTGGAAGGCTTCTTGTGGTCGAGCCCCCACTGGGATGACCGTCGGGGTTTCTAAGTGGATCGGGGGGTTACAAGTGGATGCCAAGATGGGTTATATCTGGCCCAACCTGGCTTATAAGTGGGTTACAAGCGTCTTCAGTAGCGCAGGGGGGTTAACGATCCGGGCTAAGTGGGCTCCGCCCACTTAGCGGAGTTATCTAACCCCCTAAGCCATTCGGGGCGCTTGTAACCCACTTACAAGCCAGGTTGGGCCAGATATAACCCACCTTGGCATCCACGTGTAACCCCCCTTATCCACTTAGAAACCCCGACGGTCATCCCAGTATCCAGCCTCGTCGTCTCCTCCGAGAGAGGCCTGCTCCGGGGGAGGCCCTGGAGCGTCCGGGGTCCTCCCTCCGGGCGGCCCCCTCGCTCGAGGAGGCGCGAGATATGCCGCGCGGGCTCCTCGGCGACGGGCCCCGCTTCCCTGCAGAGTCGGCGCGCCGCGTCGTCGAATCCGGGCGGCACGGCTGCCGCGTGCATGCGCCGGGCCGGGCCCTCCTGCCGACCCGCGAGTGGGCCCCATGCGCCACCCCCTTCTCTTCCTGCTCCTCCTCCTCCACCTGCTCCTCCTGCTCCTGCTCCTGCTCCTCCCTCCTCCTCCTCCTCCTCCTCCTCCTCCTCCTCCTCCTCCTGCTCCTGGTCCTCCTCCTGCTCCTGGTCCTCCTCCTGCTCCTGCTCCTCCTCCTGCTCCTGCTCCTCCTCCTGCTCCTGCTCCTCGTCCTGCTCCTCCTCCTCCTCCTCCTCCTCCTCCTCCTCCTCCTCCTCCTCCTCGCGGGTCCCCAGCCCGTGCCAGCGTGCGCCCGGGAGCTCTCGTGCCGGCTCCTCCCGCGCCCCCTCCCCACGGGGGGGGGGGGGAAGGGGCGCCGACGCCACCGCCGAGCCCGGCCGGGCCAGGCCTGGGCTCCCCGGGGGCCTCGAGCAGTGGCTCGGGCCGGACGAAAGGGGGGGATTGGGAAAGAGGGAAAGAGGTGTGTAGCTTCCGTGCGTCGAGGACTCGCTGCACCTCGTGCTGCGCACCGGCAGCGCCCGCGGGCGCACCGACGCTGCGGCCCGGCTGCTGCCACGGCCCCGCTGCCGCTGCTGGCCGCGCCGGCCCACTCGACAGGGAAGGCTTCGGCGTCTGAGTGCCCTCCGCCTCCTCCTCCTGTCCTCCGCGGCCGCCCCTTCCCCCTTGTTCCCCTCCCTGGCTCGGGGGCGGAAAAGAGGGGGGTGATGACTAGGGGGGGGTGGATATCATGGCGGGGGCCCTGATAGTTCCCCAGATTTCACGGCGCCTCTTCTTGTTTCATTGCGTCCCTGGCCCCCCCGCTGGGCCGCGCACACATGCCGCCGGTCATGATTTGCACCCCCCCCTCTTGGACACCCCCCTCTTGGCCGCTCCCGAGAAAGGGGGGGATTGGGAAAGGGGGAGGTACGAAATCTGCTGCGTGCAGCTGGTTTCGGCCCCACCCGGGGGCGCATTCCTCGATACATGGCCGCCTCCGGCGCCGGGAGGCGCCGGGAAAGTCAGCTGCGTGAGCTGACTCTCAACCCCCCCTTTGCTATCCCCCCTTTCGCCCGACCCGAGTGGCGAAGCGTCCTGGCTCGCCCATAGCCCTGCCAAGCAATGTTCTAAGAACCCTCTGTGGTTTCCACGAGATGTTCTTAGAGCATTTCAGGCGGAGTCTGTCTTGCTTTTATCACATCGGGGATCTGTTCTAAGAACACTGTTATTGTTCTTATGACATATTTGGGTTCTAGAGAACATTTCGTAGTAGGATTATAGGAGTGCCGGGATGGTCGGTCCCTGCCGAAGGGTCGGTGCCCCTGGTCGGTCACGGCTCTCGGGCGTCACGCCAGAGGCGCCCCTGGCCACCATGGTTAAGTCGGGCGTGCCCCCCCCACAGGAGGAAGAGTCCAAAGACAGTCCAAACATAGTCAGGGCAGGATTATTCGATCACGTTTTAATGTTTTGAAGCATCTTTTGGGGGGGGAGGGGTCCAAATCCGCCTATAGGGGGGCATGCCCGACCTAACACTATGATCGGCGGCGAGCGAGGGGGGGAAATGAGAAGGAAAAGGCCTTCTCAGAAGGCGGCGGGACTTCTCAGAAGCCCTCGCGCCTTCTGATAAGTTTTCCTGTGTCTTCGGAGAGGGCTCAGAACACTTCTCAGAAGGCCAGGAGGCTTCCGAGCCCTCTGAGAGGGCCTCCTCCCTCTCACTTCCCCGCCCCTCGCTCGCCGGTGATGTGAGGTGCCTCCACAGTTTCTGAGTGGGCCCCCGCGACTTGCAGAGCACCTCTCACGAGGCCCGCCCCGGGGGCCTCCGGGGATCCAGCGTGGAGTGAAGAGCCGGGGGCGCCCTCGTTCGGCCACAGGGGCCCTTTCGGCAACTCGGGAGGGTTTGCGCGCCGATGCCGAGCCCAGGCTCGCCCTGGCCGGGCTCGGTGGCGGCTCTGCCGCAGGAGGGCACCACGTGTCACTGGACAGGCGTCGGCGGTTACAGTCGGGGCGCCGAAGAAGGAACTCTTTTCGTTGGGTAGGGGCTCCGTGTTCCTCAATTTTCACAGTTTGCCCCACGTTTTCCTCAGGCTTTCGAAGGGAAGTCGAAGTTCAACTTCTGGAGAAAAGGGGCCTCGTTCCTTATTCAGGGTTCCTTGGGTCAGCGCCCCGACTGTACGAAGAGTGTGGTTACGCTGGGGTGTGGTTTGCGATCGGCGCCGTTTGGGCCTATAGGGGCTACCACGTTGGCCAACAGTTCGACGAACCCTCGCCAGGGTGCAGCGCGGAGATCTCCGTCGAGGCCCTCGCCCGTCCCCCACCCCCGGGCGCGGGTTTGCGAGCGGCACCCTCGGCAGAGCACACCTTTCGAGGTCGCTGAACACTGGAGAGGCCTGGTGCACGCCTCGTGAGCCGTCTTGGGGCTCCCGGAGGGCCGCGCGGGCCTACCCGGAGGCCTGCCGCGGGGCAGCGACGCGTGGAGAGCGGCAGAGCTCTGCGCCGACGCCGAGGGTGCCGATTCCTTCTGGGCCCGGGGGTGCCCTGCGTGGGGCGCCCCCTGGTGGCCTCCTGAGGCCATCCAGGCCGCGGCCCTGACGTCCTCGGGTCCGATGTTCTCCAGGCCGCGGCCCCAGAGGTGCCGACTCCTTCCCCGGGGCAGCCTTGCGCCCCGGATCCGTGTCGGAGTGGTCCTGGGGCCCGATCGCGTGCCCTGGAGGCCGACCTCTCGGAAAGCCGCCCGGAGAGAGAAAGATCATATGTCGTCGGATGCGTGGGAGTGGGCGCTCGGGCCCACCCTTCAGGAGGAGGAAGAGGAGGAGGAGGAGGAGGAGGAGGAGGAGGAGGAGGAGGAGGAGGAGGGGGAGGAGGAGGAGGAGGAGGAGGAGGAGGAGGAGGAGGAGGAGGAGGAGGAGGAGGAGGAGGAGGAGGAGGAGGAGGAGGAGGAGGAGGAGGGAGGAGGAGGAGGAGGAGGGAGGAGGAGGGAGGAGGAGGAGGAAGAGGAGGAGGAGGAGGAGGAGGAGGAGGAGGAGGAGGAGGAGGAGGAGGAGGAGGAGGAGGAGGAGTGCCCCCCCTTCAGGAGCTCTGGAGAAAGCCCGCTGCCGCGCCTCAGGGAGCTGGCTGCTCGGTGCGGCGCGCGGACTCCAAGGACGTCGTCCGGCACCCGTCGTGCTTCCCGGACCGGCGGGGCGGGGAGCGCACCCTTCGAGAAGGAGATCGGCTACATGATTCGGGGGCGGCCAAGGTGATGACTATGGGGGGGTGGATAGCATGGCGTGGGCCATGATATCTCCTCAGATTTCATGGCGACAATTCTGATTCCATTACGTCCCTGCCCCCCCCCCTGGGCCGCGCACATGCCGCCGGCCATGATTTGCGTCCCCCCTCTTGGACGCCCCCCCCTCTAGGCCGCCCCCGAATGATCAATTCTCTTTTTATTGCGTCGAGTCTGCGAGAAGCTCGCAGTCTGCTCCGCATGTCTACGCGGAGTGTTCCACGCCTTCTTCGCAGATCCGACGACCAGAGCAATGGGGGGGTGAGTCGATTCTGTGGTCGATCTCCTACTCGTATCCTCTCGTGGGCGAGGCCAGTATCTGTATCCGCGGCCGCGCGCGCTGGTCCCTGGGAGGCGACCTTTGCGTCAAGTCGGGCATGTCCCTCTACAAGGGGAATCTATGCAATAATTATAATATAAACAATAGTCTGGGGACGATTTTTTGCGTCGATCATTTCTGGCTATCTTTGAGCTTTTTGGGGGCTTTGTCTTACGCGTTCTTGTTTGTGTTTCGCCCCAAATCCGCCTCCAGGGGGACATGGCCCAAGGGCGCCCTCGAGGGCGCGAAGCTACTCTCGCTTCGCGCTTCGCGGTCCGGCTCCGATTTCTCCTCCTCCTCCTCCTCCTCCTCTCCCCTGGGAGGCGGCGCGAGAGCGCGAAGCTGTTCGCACCTCGCGCTCCGCGCAGCGCGGGAGCGCGAAGCTGGGAACCCCTGTGGCCCGACCCTCACCCGCCTGGAACACATCCCCATCCCCATGCCTGGCATCGCCTCACCCCGATGCCGATCTTAGGGGTGCCCTCCGTTTCTGAGGGCGCATCCCTAAGGTCAGGCGGGACGAAAGGGGGGGATTGGGAAAGGGGGGGTTACGAAATTGGGAGAGGTTGTCGTCGACTCCTGGCTTGTTAATCTCTTAGGGGTAGGGATCCGTCCGAGGCCGGTTCGACCCAGCCCCCGCGGAGGCGGGGCGCTCCGCTCGCGGGTGCCCCCCTCGCGGAGCGCCTCTCCGTGCGACCGCGCAGCCGGCGGAGGAGCGCCCCCCCCCCCCCCCCGAGAAGACCCCGGGCCGGTGGCGGCGCGGGCGCGGGGCGCGTGCTCGCCGCGCGGGGTCCTCTCGCCACCAGGCAGGCCTTACACTGGGCCTGTCCCTCGACAGGAGGAATGAATCTCCAAACATGGTTTGGACATAGCCTGGGGGCGTTCTTTTTTGTTCGTTGTTGTTGCTGTTGCTGCTGCTGCTGCTGTTGTTGTTGTTGATGTTGTTGTTGTTGTTGTTGTTGTTGTTGTTGTTGTTGTTGTTGTTGTTGTTGTTGTTGTTGTTGTTGTCGTTGTTGTTGTTGTTGTTGTTGTTGTTGATGTTGTTGTTGTCGTTGTTGGTGTTGGTGTTGGTGTTGGTGTTGGTGTTGTTGCTGCTGTTGTTGTTGTTGTTGTTGTTGTTGTTGTTGTTGTTGTTGTTGTTGTTGTTGTGTGAACCGTGCAGTATCCGCCTGTAGGAGGATTTGCCCGACCTACGGCAAGCCTAACCATGCCCGCGCGCCGTGAGAAAACAAAACACGATGGGAGGTCTCTGCGACAGCTCCCGCGGCCTCCTCCAGGGCTCGTCCCCTAGGATGTCTGTGCAGCGGGGGCTTTCTCAACCAGACGTAAGAGTGACCCTTCGCCGGAGTGACCTTGCGCGATCTGATGGGAGCTTCTTGCGCGGCACAGTGATGGGATCTGATGGTGCGGGCACAGTGGGGGCTTCCCGATCTCCCAGCGCGATGTGATGGGAGCGTCTTGCGCGCCCGTGTTTAGGCACACCGCGGCCCCCAGAAAGCTGCGCACCAAAGGTCACTCTTGCCCAGGTTCGCTTGCGTGTAGCCTGAAGTCGGGCGTGTCCCTCTACGGGAGGAAAATTCAAAAAACAGTCAAAACATAGGACGATGAGGACGATTGGTTGACCACTTTTGAGTATCTGTTGGGTATTTGTTTTGAGTATGTTTTAGTTTTCGTCCATCATCCCCCTGTAGGAGGACAGGCCCGACTTAAGTGTAGCCGAAATTTCTTCAAGCAGTGGCGAAGCGGCCTGGCGTGTGTGTAGGCCTACCAAACAATGTTCTAAGAGCCTTTTGTGGTTTCCACGGAATGTTCTCAGAACATCTCTCGTTGAGTTTGTCGTGTTTTAACACCTCGGGCTCATGTTCCAAGAACATTGTTTTTGTTCTTACAACATCTCTGGATCCTAAGAACATTTCGTGGTAGGACTACGGGAATGCCGGGACGGTTGGTCCCTCAATTTATTCGTCGAGCGCGTTCCACTGCTCGCAAAGTAACTATTCGCAAAATGGCCAGGATCCCCCGTTGGGGATCTACGATAAATTACGTCCAAGCAGCCAGGTGCCTTTTCGGACGCTTGCGAGCAGGCGCTTGGCGAGTAGTGGAACGCGCTCGGCGGTTTATGTCCCTCGCAGGACCAGCCGACCCACCACCACCGGCTCCCGTCGACCCTCTCCGTGCCGGGGAGGCTCCCGGCGTCCCCGCCGGGCCGCGGGCTCCCCGCGCTCGCCCTCGCCGGGGAGGCGGCGCCTCGCGGCGCGGCAGGTCCACTGGGCCAGCCAAGCGTTCGATTCTGGCGCGCAGGTGGTGTTGGACACGCTGGGGGTGTTTTTTTCCCAGCCATCCTGTGGTGTTGGGTCCTCGTTTTGACGAGACGTCGCCCCGCGTGCCTCCTCCTTCCTCCTCCCTCCTCCCCTCCTCTCATCATCATCATCATCATCATCATCATCATCATCATCATCATCATCATCATCATCATCATCATCATCATCATCATCATCATCATCATCATCATCATCATCATCATCATCATCATCATCATCATCATCATCATCATCATCATCATCATCATCATCATCATCATCATCATCATCATCATCATCATCATCATCATCATCATCATCATCATCATCTTCTACTTCATAGTTATCCTGAGCATCCGCGCTGCCAGCCCCGCCCCATTTCGGCACACCTCTCACACGTTTCGTGGCCCCATAATTAGGGAGCTCCACCTAAGGCCCCAGAGGGAACGGTTGCATGGCGGCCTCGCTTCATTTCGGCACACCCCTCACACGTTTCGTGGCCCCATAGGGGGCTCCACCTAAGGCCCCAGAGGGAACGGTTGCATGGCGGCCTCGCTTCATTTCGGCACACCCCTCACACGTTTCGTGTCCACATAGGGGGCTCCACCTAAGGCCCCAGAGGGAACGGTTGCATGGCGGCCTCGCCCCATTTCGGCACACCCCTCACACGTTTCGTTGCCCCATAGGGAGCTCCATCTAAGGCCCCAGAGGGAAAGGTTGCATGGCGGCCTCGCTTCATTCCGGCACACCTCTCACACGTTTCGTGGCCCCATAGGGAGCACCGCAGAAGGCGCCAGTGGCAGGGTTCCCATGGCGGCCTCGCCCCATTTCGGCACAACCCTCACACGGGTCGTGGCCTCATAGGGAGCTCCACCGAGGGCCTCATAGAACGATGAACCCAGAATGCGGTATCCACAACTGCTTATGGTTTGGTCCTTCGTCAGGCTATTTTTTTGCCATTTCTTGTCCCAACCATCCTCTGGCGTGGGGGCCTCGTTTTGAAGGGACAGCGCCCCGCGTTCCTCTCCTTTCTCCTTTCCTCCTTCCTTACTCCTCTCCTCCTCCCCCTCCTCCCTCCTCCTCCTCCCTCCTCCCATCATCGTCATCATCATTACTGTCACCACCACCACCATCATAATCATCACCATCACCATCACCACCACCATCATCATCACCATCATCATCATCATCATCATCATCATCATCATCATCATCATCATCATCACCATCATCATCATCATCATCAGCAGCAGCATCGTTTTCTTCGTCAACTTCGTCGTCGTCATGATGATGATGATGATGATGATGATGATGATGATGATGATGATGATGATGATGATGATGCTGATGGTGATGATGATGCTGATGATGATGATGATGATGATGCTGATGATGATGATGATGATGATCATCATCATCAGCATCATCATCATCATCATTACAACTTTCGGCACGCCCCTCACACTTGTCGTGGCCCCATATGGAGGTCCACCGAAGGCCTCAATGGCGCTGCCCACATGCGTCCCCAGTCCCCGCCGCCCATGTTGGCATACCCTTCACATGTTTCGTGGCCCTATGGGGAGCTCCGCCGAAGGCCCCAGTGGCGGTGCCTACATGCGTCCCCGCCACCCATTTCGGCACACCACTCACACGTTCCGTGGCCTCACAGGGAGCTCCATGAAAAGCCCTAGTGGCGGTGCCCACATGCGTCCCCGCCACCCATTTCGGCACACCCCTCAAACGTTCGGCGGTGCCCACATGCGTCCCGACACCCATTTCGGCACACCCCTCACACGCTTCGTTCCCATATGGAGCTCCACCGAAGGCCGTGGTGGTGGTGCCTACGTGCGTCCCCGCCAGCTATTCCGGCACACCCCTCACACGTTTCGTGGCCCCATAAGGAGCTCCACCCACGGCCCCAGTGGCAGTGCCCACAAGTGCCCCCGCCACCCATGCTGGTACACCCCTCACATGCTTCGTGGCCCCATAGGGAGCTCCACCGAAGGCCACAGTGGCGGTGCCCACATGCGTCCCCACCACCCATTTCGGCACACCCCTCACACGTTTCGTGGCAACACAAGGGGGACAAGGGGGCTCCACCAAAAAGCGGTGCCCACATGCGTCCCCGACACCCATTTCGGCACACCCCTCACACGTTTCGTGGCCCCATAGGGGGCTCCGCCCAAGGCCGCAGAGGCGGTGCCCACATGCGTCCCCGCCACCTAAGTTGGCACACCCCTCGCACGTCTCGTGGCAACACAGGGGGCTCCACCAAAAGCCCCAGCGGCGGTGCCCACATGCGTCCCCGCCACCCATTTCGGCACACCCCTCACACGTTTCGTGGCCCCATAGGGGGCCCCACCCAAGGCCCCAGTGGCGGTGCCCACATGCGTCCCCGCTACCCAGGTTGGCACACCCCTCACACGTTTCGTGTCCACACAGGGGGCTCCACGGAAAGCCTTAGTGGCGGTGCCCACATGCGTCCCCGACACCGATTTCGGCACACCTCTCACACGTTTCGTGCCCTCATAGGGAGCTCCACCCAAGGCCCCAGTGGCGGTGCCCACATGCGTCCCCGCCACCTAAGTTGGCACACTCTTCCACGTCTCGTGGCACCACAAAGGGGGCTCCACCCAAAGCCCCAGTGGCGGTGCCCACATGCGTCCCCAACACCAATTCCGGCACACCCCTCACACGTTTCGTGGCCCCATAGAGAGCTCCACCCAAGGCCCCAGTGGCGGTGCCCACATGCGATCCAGCCACCCATTTCGGCACACCATTCGCACGTCTCGTGGCAGCATATGGGGGCTCCACTAAAGCCCCAATGGCGGTGGCCACATGCGTCCCCGCCATCCATGTCCGCACACCTCTCACACGTTTCGTGGCCCATAGGTAGCTCAACCCAAGGCCCCAGTGGCGGTGCCCACATGCGTCCCCGCCACCCATTTCGGCACACCCCTCACACGTCTCGTGGCCCCATAGGGAGCTCCATCGAAGGCCCCAGTTGCGGTGCCCACATGCGTCCCTGCCACCTATGTTGGCAGACCCCTGAAACGTTTCGCGGCAGCATAAAAGGGGGTTCCACGGAAAGCCCCAGCGGCGGTGCCCACATGCGTCTCTGCCACCCATGTTGGCACACCCCTCACACGTTTCGTGGCAGCATTACAGGGGTTTCCCTGGAAGCCCCAGTGGCGGTGCCCACATGCGTCCCCGTCACGCATTTCGGCACACCCCCCACATCTTTCGTGGCCCCACAGGGAGCTCCACCGATGGCCGTAGTGGCGGTGCCCACAAGCGCCCCCGCCACCCATTTCGGCACACCCCTCACACGTTTCCTGGCCCCATAGGGAGCTCCACCGGAGGCCGTAGTGGCGGTGCCCATATGCGTCCCCGCCACCCGTTTCGGCACACCCATCACACGTTTCGTGGCCCCATAGGGAGCTCCATCGAAGGTCCCAGTTGCGGTGCCCACATGCACCCCCGCCACCTATGCTGGCACACCCCTCAAACGTTTCGTGGCAGCATAAAAGGATGTTCCACGGAAAGCCCCAGCGGCGGTGCCCACATGCGTCCCCGACGCCTTGGTTGGCACACCCTCACACGTTTCGTGGCCCCAAAGAGAGCTCCGCCGATGGCCGTAGTGGCGGTGCCCACATGCGTCCCCGCCACCCATGTCGGCACACCTCTCACGCGTTTCGTTGCCCCATAAAGGGGGCTCCACCGAAGGCCGTATTGGCGGTGCCCACATGCGTCCCCGCCGCACACGTTGGCACACCCCTCGCACGTTGCGTTGCCCCGTAGGGAGCTCCACCGAAGGCCCCAGTGGCGGTGCCCACATGCGTCTCCGCCACCCATTTTGGCATACCCCTCACACGTTTCGTGGCAACATAAGGGGGCTCCTCGGAAAGCTGCAGTGGCGGTGTTCAAATGCGCCCCCGGCACCCATGCCGGAACACCTCTCACACGTTTCGTGGCCCCACAGGGAATTCCACCGAAGGCCGTAGTGGCGGTGCCCACATGCGTTCCCGCTACCATTCCGGCACACCCTTCACACGTTTCGTGGTCCCATATCAGAGCTCCACCGAAGGCCGTAGTGGCGGTGCCCACATGCGCCCCCGCCACCCATTTCGGCATACCCGTCACACGCTTCGTGGCCCCACAGGGAGTTCCAGCGAAGACGATACTGACAACTGCGTCATTCACAACTGCACATGGTTGGGTGCTTCGCCCGCTCTTTTAGTATCATTATTTGTTGTTTGCTATGTGTTTCTCGGTGATTGCATTTGGTAGAGTATCAAATGTTGCTGCTACTACTGCTGCTGTTGCTGTTGCTGCTGCTTTTGCTGTTGTTGCCCTCTCATTACTAAAGAAGTATTATTGCTATTGTTCATCCCCCCTCCGCGGTAACCATTCCATTTTTCCCCACATCCAAAGTGGGGTTTTTGTTTTCTCTGCACACGCCGCGCAGGATCTCACCCCCCTTTCCTCTCTCTCTCTCTCTCGCTCACACACTCACCATCATCACCATCATCATCACCATCACCCACCATCATCGTCATCATACGCACACACTCATCATCATTACCATCATCATCACCATCAACCACCATCACCGTCATCACTACTCATCATCATAACCCTTCATCATTACTCATCATCATAATCCTCATCATCATCGTCACCATCATCACCACTCGATCACCCACTCACTCACTCAATTGCTCACTCATCCTCAGTAGGCTTCGGAGGCAGTGGTCCTCCGACGGTACGACCGCCGCCACTCTCAACATCATCGTCACCATCTCCATCACAATCTCTCGACCACCCACTCAGTGGCCATCATGACCATCATCAGCATCATCATCACTCATTCATCACACAGTCATCATCATCATCATCATCATCATCATCATCCATTCACTCAGCATTTCGTCATCACTCACTCCTTGGCTTGAATTTGGA